GAGAAGAAACTAATAAGAATGAACTATTAGAGAAGTAGAATAGATCTTGTTTATTAAGGAGAGGAAGGAGAGTTAGAGGAAATGGGTTTAAGTGAAGTAGAAGGAGAAGGAGAACTAGAGAAAATCATTGCAGTACGATCGGTGGAAGGAGAACAGAAGAGAAGTCATAATAATAAAAAATATATATATATTAAAGTAAGGTGACAAATCAATTAATAAGAAAATTCAAAATTTAAAGTCGAAAATTAAAAAGTCAAATGTTGTAGGAGGAAATCCTGCATGAAAAAACGTAAAAGACTAAAAAATTAAATAAAAATATACAGAATAAAAATACAAAAAATAAAAACGGGTTGGGTTTTTCGGTTTTTTGGGCCTACTCATGTGGTTATCGGTTCTTGGACTTAAGAGCGACAACCACCCGACTGGGCTCTCGGTTGCTACCGCGACCAAGGTCAGCCTAACTGAATGCCGAAAAAGCCCGACCCGTCGGTTGCGGTTGCGGTTGCGGTTGCGGGCAAGCACAATTTTTTTTACGGTTTCGGGCACAAACGCCCACCCAAAAAAAAACGTCATTCGCTCTCCCATTTCTCTCATTTTCCTCCTCCAATCACAAGAAGCTCACTCGATATCGTTTCGGAGGTAGGGGAATAAAGCATCTGTTCTTTCTTTTTATTGTCCTAGTTCTCCGTTGTTGGATTCATTGCAAGAGATAACATCAACGGGTTCTTCTGTTTAAAAGCTAGGGAGTTGGCATTTTAGCTAAATTCAAAATGGAGTTGAATTTAGATGCTATATATATCTCAAAACCCAATAGATCTTAAAGTCAATCTTAACTCGGCTGAGTCAACCCCGACTCTAACTCCGAAGCCGGCTTTTCCAGTAAACTCACCGAAGGTTCTAGTCACTGGGCGCGCCAAATAGACAAATCTGAGACGTGGAACTTCTCAATGGACAACAAGGACGAGGGACCTTTTATAATTGCACCAAACCAGATGTCCTTCTTTAGTTCGTATCTGCACTCCGGATTGACCTGCAAAGCCCCAAGATGGATCTCGGGGTAGACACTCCGATGCTTAAGTCAGTAATAATCGGGGTTACCAACAGAGCAAAGATTAGAAGAGCTTAGGGTTGGTTTCAATCACCTTTTTGACGTGACCCTTGAGGGGTATTTATATGTTCCAATGAAGAACCCACGCGGCATGCTAAGCAAGACTTTCAGGATCTGGTGTGTATCTCCGGGCAGTTATTTCGGGATCGAGAAATTAAGCCCAACAAGATATTCGGGATTTGATATATATCTTCAGGCAGTTATTTCGGGATCGAGAAATTAAGCCCAGCAAGATATTCGGGATCTGTTGTGAGGATGTCCATCATAACTGCTGTGCAGCCGTCTGAGCAGGGAGCTTTGGATTTACTCTTCATTCCGGTTGTAAAGGAATTACTGTCGTACGTCCGAGGTTGGGCACCTCGGACCTACCCTTACACTACTCCCCCCCCTGAAGTCATTCATTTGTGAATGATGTTGTTGGAAGTGATAGGGTTAGTGCAAAAATAGAGTAGTGTGGCTGGGGCCGAAGTAAATCGTGTGACACTGGGTCACTGTGACCATAGCCGAAGTGAAACACGTGACACTGGGTCACTGTGGCCGTAGCCGAAGTGAAACACGTGACATTAGGTCACTGTGGCCGGAGCCGAAGTAAAGCGTGTGACACTGGGTCACTGTGGCCGGAGCCGAAGTAAAACGTGTGACACTAGGTCACTGTGGCCGTAGCCGAAGTGAAACACGTGACACTGGGTCACTGTGGCCGGAGCCGAAGTGAAACGTGTGACACTGGGTCACTGTGGCCGGAGCCAAAGTAAAACATGTAACATTGGGTCACTGTGGCCGTAGCCGAAGTGAAACACTTGCCAAAATTTAAAATGTACAAAAGTGGAAAGGAGTGTTGAAATGGGCTTAAGTGGGCCCGTTTGAGAAGTCTGACTAAGACGTGGCACATGACGCGACAGCTGTCCTCTGAATGACGTGCGTAATAAATGCCGCTGTAAAAAGATAACTGCAACAGTCCAACGGGCAGATTTGAAAAGCGAACCGTCGAGCTCGAAACAGTGTCGTTTAATGATTAACCGTCGAATTCGAAACGGTGTCTCTGCAGCCGTTAGATTGAGTTAATCACAGCCGTTGGGGCGTATTTTGCCTTTGGTATAAAAGGCTACACTTCTGTAAAGGGGACTTTTTTACTCTCGTTTATTTTGCTTCAACTTTCCTACTGAATTGCTACTAAATTTCTGCGGTTTCGTGCGGTTTGCACTTCAATCCAGACTTCAACAACAGTTTCCAAGACCAAAATTAGGTAAAGTTTATTTGTTATTTTGATTTTGTCGAAGTGATGCTCTCCTTTCTCCCTTTCTGTGATTGATTTTGGGTTTTTTGGAGGAAATTAGGGTTGGGAGTGAGAATGTGTTGAGTGTGCTGGAATTGTTAAGGGTCCTGACATCGTTCCTCCTCCCTCTTTATGCAGAAATTACGATGTCTTCAGAAGAGGCCAAGAGTGTAGTGGGGAGTGAAGTGATGCCCCTGGATTACGGTAGGATGGATACGGAGAGCAGTCCATCTCCAACTAGTTCGGAGAGGACGGTGGAGGAGAGGAGGGATGAAGTAATAGTAGAGGAGGAGGAAAAGGAGATCCCCTCAAACATTTTGGAATCTGGGGGTGGCGTAGATGGGTGCTATGACCCAGACTTAGAGATAGTTTCTGAGGTGAGGGGGTATGTGAGTGAATTAGGGAGTAGAAGTAGCCTTAGGAGGTTAGTAGGGAACTGTAATCTTCCCCACCATGTCCTAATCAAGTCTGCCGGGGTGAATGAGAGGGCATGCTCAGCACCCCGAGACCATTGGATGCCCATATACCTGCATTATTTGATTGCAGGGCTTAAGTTTCCCATTCCAGAATTACTGGTTGGGCTATTATTAGATTATAGTATAGGAATAACCCAGCTAACTCCAAATGCCATGAGGGTAGTAATAGGTTTTCTTGTATACTGCAGAGTTCGGGGGGTTGGGGTCCCGACAGTGAATATGTTCAAACATTTTTTTATAATTAAGGCTGGGGGTAGAGGGGAGAAGGGGTGGTATCACTTCGGTCCTCGATCGTCCAACAAAGAGAATAGGACTTTATTCTCTGCTGGGCCGTCATCCATCAAAGGATGGAAAGAAAAATTCTTCTTTGTGGATGACACCGAGTAGAGTAGGAGGGATGCCGAAGTGGAACAGTTGTCTGCTTGGAAAGCGAAGAAAACCAAGCAAAACAACTATAAGTTGAATGAGGAGGAGGTGGAGGAGGTGAAGAAGCTAGTGAGGGAAGATGGGGACGTAGTGGATATCTTGTACCTCACCAGCCCGGAGGCGATAGATGCTGCTGAGCTCTATGGGCCAAGCTCATTGGGGGAAGGTTGGTGGATGTTTGCAATTTTGGTGAGAGCTTAACTGATGTGTTCTGACATTGATGTTTGTTTTGCAGCTGAGATGGACGAGTTCGTCACTGCTGCTGGGGGTCTGTGCATTCCCAAGAAGCCAAGGAAGAAGTCAAAGACTTCAACTGCGGTGGAGAAAGAGGTGACAGAGGGGGGGCAACTGTCCAGCACTTTTGCCCAGGCTATGGAGGTGCAGCCAAGGCCGGAGCCTATGATGGGGGGTAGCGAGGATGTAAGTGAGGAGATGGCACCTCTCTAGAGGAAGAAGAGGAAGGTGGCAGAGCCAGAAACCAGGGGGGACGAGGTGGTGGAGTTCGTGCCCCGGCCTTCTCCTCTAGAAATCGATCCTAAGGTCCGGGAGAGGGAAGAGGCCGAGGTGCGAGGCCTTGGCAGGGGCGAGGAGCTCATCCCTCCTCTTTTGCCTGAGAAAAGTCTATTTGAGGCGGCAAACACGACTGGGGCAAAGCACTTCCTCAACCACACTCTCCCTAAGTTGGATAGGAAGCGGGCGAGGGATGAGGCGGTGAGCCATGTGGGGTATACCGTTGTGAGGCACACCTTAGAGGGATGCAAAATAGTTGGAATTTACTCCAGTTGTGTGTTTGAGTATTTTGACCTCTGTATCTGATGTCTGACTTCTGATTGCATTGTAGAGTGCGAGCTGGACAAACGCTCTAGCGTAGGAGTATGCAGAGAGCGTGAGAGATGGTGCCAGCTTGCAGAGGTAGTGCGAACAGGTGCAGAAGGAGAAGGATGAACTGCAGAAGGAGAAGGGGGAATGGGAGAAGGAGAAGAGGGAGATGCAGAGGAGGCTGGATGAAGTTCTCCCTTCAGTGACCGAGCTCCAGAACGAGAATGATGTCCTGAGCACGAAGCTTGTCCTCGAAGAACGTAAGAGGAAGATCTGTGAGGAGAAGGTCGAGGCTCAGGACAAATACATGGACAACATGAGGAAAGTAGCAGCGGAGCTGAAGAAGAACGTGAACATGCTGGTTCACAACGGGATGGAGGAGCACATTGGCAACTTCCTCAACTCCAGCACCTTTGAGAACATCCTCAAACTCTACCAGCTGCCAACCGCAATCGTGGTCTTCACCGACTGTAGGAAGAAGGTGAAGGCTCAGTACCCAGAGGTGGACGTGACAACGGTTACCTTTGGGGAACAAGAAGAAGGGGTGGAGGAAGATGGGGAGAGCCTCTGTGCTGACTTCCGACCTCGGATCATGCTGAGGTGGGAGCGTGATGCAGAGGGGCGCACCATTTTTGCTCCAGCCTTTGACGCTGAGTTGGTGGCCGTGAAGGGAGAAAAAGAAGAAGAAAAAGAAGGAGAAGCGCAAGGCGCCGGAGTTGAGAATCAGGCAGCTCTAGCCGCAGTGCAGCCTCCTAAGGTGCATCCAGTCTCGTCTGACGAAGTGCAGGCGTTGCCTCCTCCTTAAGCAGAAGTGCCACTCCTGCCTGCTGGAGACGAGCCTAGATCCCCGCCTCTTCCCGTTGAGGAGCAGCCTCCTCCTCCAGCAGAGTAGTTTAGGATTTTTTGTGTTATTGGTGTAAATAACAGTTTTGTATTTGAGATTAATGTATAAAATTTTTGAATTTATGATTATCTGGTGTTCGATTTTAGATTTGTGATTGATGTTTTCCTTTGGGGAACTCTTTTTGGATAAAATAAGTTAACTTGAATTAACACAAGGTTCTGACCTCGGATAAACAGTATAGTAGTTGACTTCGGATATCCATAAGGTATACCTCGAAGACGGAGTAAAGCACTTTAAAAATGTAGCTGATTAATAGGATTATAACCCTAAAAATGAAGTGGCTGAATGAGTCAGAATAAATGAAACTCACTTCCAACATATAGAAGAGTACACATAACTGAATTACTTCGGACAGGAAGTGAAACTTATTAATGAATTGAGTTAAAATACACTCTAAGTTGAGCAGTAGGAGTGAAAGTAAGAACTATTAAAACAAAGTTCACTTAAATGAAGTATACTTAAGGGTAAAACTTCTTCAAGTTATTGATATTCCAGACTCTGGGAACCCGTTTGCCTTCAGTGTCCCGTAGGATATAAGCACCTGGGTGCGGCACTTCGGCGACAGTGTAGGGGCCTTCCCAGTTTGGTGCCAATTTGCCGAATCGAGTTTCGAACCCCGTCAGACCTGCTTTCCTGAGAACAAGGTCTCCTACTTTGAATGTTCGGGGTCGAACTCTTTTGTTGTAGAAGTTTGCTATTTTCTGCTTGTAGACTAGAGTTCGAAGTCGTGCTTCTTCTCTAACGTCATCAAGCAAATCAAGGTTCTCCCGAAGCAGTTGTCCATTCCGTCCTTCATCGAAATGGGTGACTCGGAAGCTTGGAACCCCAATCTCGATAGGAATGACTGCTTCGGTACCAAAAGCCAGATGATAAGGTGTTTCGCCTATTTCAGTGAATTATAACTTTAGAATGTGCTTTACACGTTATGCATATTTGCTCTAAGGTAAAACCGTAGCAGAATAACATAAAATTAATCAGGTTGGCTACGTGTAGAGTAATACCTGTGGCAGTTTGACTCGTAGTTCTGTATGCCCAGAGGACGTTGTTGAGATCGTCTGCCCATTTGGCCTTGTGTTGTTCCAGCCTCGGCTTTATACCTTTTAAGATGCACTTGTTAACAGATTCAACCATGCCGTTGGACTCCGGATGGTAAACCGGGGTGAACTACAGTTTAATCCCATAGCTAGAACAGAAATCTCAAAAAGAGGTGCAGTTAAATTGAGTTCCATTATCAGCCACAATCTGATTCGGGATCCCATATCTGCAGATGATTGAGCTGAAAACAAAGTCTTCAACCTTCTTGGAAGTAAGACTGGATAATGGCCGAGCTTCAACCCACTTTGTGAAATAGTCTACACCAACAATCAGGTGGGTTACACCACCAACCCCCTTCACGAATGGGCCCAAAAGATCCAATCCCCACTGAGCAAATGGCCATGGTGCTACCAGAGTAGTGAGTTCTTCTGCAGGCTGGTGAGTCAGGTGCGCAAAGAACTGGCATTTCAAGCATCTCTGAACAAAGTGAGTGGCATCCTTGTACATGTTGGGCCAATAATAACCCTGCCTAAGGACTTTATGAGCCAAAGTTCGAGCACCCACGTGACTTCCGCAAACACCTTCATGCACCTCCCTGAGTGCATATTCTGCTTCATAGGGATTCAAGCACCGTAGAAGAGGTAGAGAGAAAGATCGCTTATAGAGGACCTCATCAACAAGTGTATATCGAGATGCTTTCCTCCTCAACTTCATTGCCTCCTGCCTGTCCTCAGGTACTATCCCGTCTCGTAAGAAGGAGGGAATTGGGTCCGTCCAGCTCGGTGTGCCTAGGTCGATGCTGATCTCCATCACCCGTGGCTTCATGAAGCTTGGTTCATCTAAGACCTCCACAAAAACTGATCTGGAATGTGAAGAACTATCAGAGGCGAATTTAGAGAGTGAATCTGCTTGTTCGTTCTCAGTTCGGGGGATTTTGCTCAGACAGAATTTCTGGAATTTGCACTTCAGCTCGGCCACCAGAGCTACATATTTCACCATCACAGGATCAACAACTTCGCAGATGGAGTTAATTTGGTTCACCACCAGCTGGGAGTCACTGTATACTTGGATCGCACTAAGTTTTAATTCCAATGCTAACTGCAGACCAAGTAGCAGGGCTTCATACTCAGCCATGTTGTTTGTTGCATCGAAGTTAAATTTCAAAGTATGTTCGCTTCGGTATCCATCTGGGCCGATTAAGAGAGCACCAGCTCCTGAACCTTTGCTACTAGATGCCCCATCAACATATAAGGTCCAGTCATTGGGCTCCGGAGTAGGAATGGAATTACCTGGAGTGCA